TCAAAGAGAATATTATTAGACTAATTCTGGAAAAAAAGACCGAGAGTGCATAGGAAAAAAACATTATTTATAGATTAGAAAAGTGAGAAAAAATACAAAGGAAGAAAGATGACTCAAGTTACGAACTAGAAAAAAGTAGTTGTTACAAAGAAGCCTGAAAAACTCACAGCAATCTTGCAATAGCCACTGAGGTTTCAAGTCAGCCACTGAAGCTGATCAGTATGCAAGTTCGTAGCAGACCCGTGAAGGACAGTTTGAGAAATAAGTGTTTATACATTTTAATTGATTTTTAAAGAAATGCAATTTTAAAGACAAAATAATATTTTCCTTGTGCCAGCCATCTGTACGGTAAAGAGTTGGAGATTTGCCAGGTCCAGTCGGGCTTTATTAAGTGATTCACCCACTAGAAAGATCCGGCATATAGGCCACATTTCAATGAACTGCCATAGCGAGTAAATCATACACTGAGCTGAACGAGTACCAAGCAGTCCTCTACGACACTACAGATTATAAATTATCAAACTTTCAAAATATTTTTATTGTAAGATATTCATCACCAAAAGGCTTTGTTTTGTATATTCCTAACTTTGAAAATCTTAAAGTTCTCATTCAGCGCTTTTTGGTTTGCCTTGTTCCTGTAGAACGATTTTCTTTTAGAGCCCTCAGGCTAACAAGATTTATTGTCATAATATTTTACGTTCAACAGCGCGTGAAATTGCGTCCAATACAGGCACCAATGTGACTAAATTTTTCACTTTGGCGACCAAATCCTGAAAATTAGTCGCCAAATTGGCGACTAGAATGCTTCATCATAACCATACCTAGAGATATAGTGAATTAGAAAGATTTGGAAAGATAAATCCGCGGCAAACGTCCTCGATAAGTTCGTTTCCAAAACGCAGCACATGCATCTTGATCGATAACTAGACGCCATCTAAGATTTAGGTGAGCTTGAAGGTTGAATATCATCCATCTTAGTGTCCACTTTGTAGCACGTTAAAGATCTTTTTCCTAACTTAATTTTGGAGGGTCTGTCTGGAACGCTGACAGCGTGGAAAAAACGTTTTGTTTGTCTTTAAAAATGGCGACCAACTTTTTTTGAATTGGCTACCACTTTGAAGAATAGCCAAGTGGCTATCAGAAAAAAAGATTAATTTCACGCCCTGTACAATCCAGCCTACTCAAATCAAACGCAGGGGTCAAGCATCGTTATGTTACTCCCCTGATGATCAGAGTAATAATTTAAAATTTATTGATTTGAATTTTTGATATTATTTCCCATATAAAGCCAGGTCGTAAGGCTTTGATAGTACCCACGGTTTACTCAGAATGGTTATATATTTTTTTCGATAAGCGGGCGATTTTACATGTAGAAATTATGTCGAACATATCAACGAAACTTCATATCTGATTAAGCTCAGCTTATTTTGTGTTCTAATATGCCAAACCTAGCATATTATGCTTTCGAGTGATCAACGCCGTCCTCTGAAAGGTTGGAAGTAGAACAGGTGTATTTTAACACGTTAGTTGTATTACAAACCGCATGTCGTGTAACTTTTCGCTCTTTTCTCAATAATTCGGAAGTAGTTTACGCTCAGAAAATTTAAAAACGTGTCCGCGACTTTTTTTTCCTCCCTATTGTCATTGGACAGGAATCGGTTACTGCTTGAATCCTGATCTATTCCTGTATTAAGAAATTTAGAATAGTTGGCCGGTTTTGATACTCAGTGTATTTAGACTATGAACATTGGGATAAAAATTTACATAAGCAGAATGGATAACAAGTCATATTAATAAATGAATACCCCCTGCAATAAATAGTTAGCACATGATTCACAAAATGAACGGTTTGAACTGCATATAGAAAAAAAAATATGATTAAAACTTAAATGCATTCGGGTGTGCACTTACAGCAACAGCTATGCCTTAGCCGGTTGACTTACAATTTTCTCTTTGCGTGTTCCGGTGTTAAAAAAAAAACAAAACAATGAACAAATCAGCGAGCATATCTTTCTTCACATTTATTCACATTTGAGTACATCGTATGTAGATTCATTTGCGATCGTGTTCAGCTGGCCTTAAATTTCATTTAATTCTAAGTTTTTATTCAAAGAGCGCTTTCTTGGGATTTTGCGATACTTTTCCCCTCTCGAAGGTTTTAACTTCGTTGTTAATGGGGATTCTTCGTTTCCCATTTCATCAGCATCCTGTACACTGACACAATTCATTTTTTGAAAGTATTCCCCGACTGTGAAAGCCAGCTGTTTCGCCACACTTTTCTTCTCGCACCAAAAGGCGTGCGTTAGATAAAAATCTCCTTCGCGTCCTTCCAAATGATGATAATTGAACACCAATACTTTCCTCCTTTTGCTGTCAACCCCGCAGTAGATTATTTTGTTAAAGTTGTAAACAGTTCTAGTCGCATGCTCTTCTTCATCAGCCCTGTAAAGCTCAAATAAATTGTCTTTTACTCGAAGAATTTGTTTCGGAAGCAAATTATGTTTCAGTTTTAACCGAGAATTGTCAAAGATTTCCTCCACGGACCCGCATATTCCGTTACCAACAGGACACAATACTTGAACGCTTCCAAGGTAAATAATTGGAAAGCTAATTTCTCTTTTTGTATCGGCGGATTCTCGAGAGAAACGAATATTTCGTAATGCAGCGTACGCCATACAGGATTTTGAACTTGCGATATCAGGTTAAAGTTGGAAAGTTCGAAATTCGACAGTGACGAAAAAAAACTCCTGTGATGAAAAATTTTGAAATATCCGATAAAAATTTAATTTAGATGCAAAGGAGTACAGAATAAACATAACAAAAGAAAACATTTGTTTTATTGACGATGGAAAGTTTCATGTACGTCATCTGCTGGTTGATTGGAGGAAATTGTCTGTCCATTGACTAATAAACCCGGTGATAAACATTCAACTTAAATGGCAATTTTTTTATTTTAATTTTGGTACCATTATACTGATGACATGGAAATTTTTACGTTATTTTGGATATCAAGAGAAACAATTAGTTTAAAGAGGAAGGTTGACCTTTTTTTCTGAGGAACAGCCTCGCTAAACCAACCGCCATGATTAGTAGAAGGAAAGGTCAGATTGGCTTTTGCTTTTTTTGTATGGCATGGCTGAGACATGAAAGATAAGAGTTTCTCCAAGGTTTTTTATTCCGGGTGGACTAAAATAAAAAATATATGTATAACGTATAATTTACTTAAACATCGTGCCGCTGCAGAGCTCAGAGCGAAACAGAAAATATGATTTTATCCAAAGTAAGATTCTTTCTTTCGTTTACAGCCATCGTTAAACACCAATAAGAATATAGTCTTTATATAAAATTTATCGATGATAATTCCTCTTTCTTCGCTGTAAAAATATCCAAGAAATCTGCAAGTACATTAGAGAAACCTTCGAAAGTAGTCTTGTTTGATTAATAGGAAAGAAAGCTGATTTGAATATTAGAAACATTATATCTTCATTGTTAAATATTTGAACCATTATTTGTTTTCTTGGTATTTAATTCTTGTGTACGTCTAATTTTAAATTATTTATTAATTTCATTTTAAATTTGGCAGCTCCATCTAATTCCTCTCGAAGGTATAAAAAATTGCATTTAAAACATCAGCCATCGATTTTGATCAGACAAAAGAACGGAAAAGAGTCACGGAAAAGAGTCACGGAAAAGAGTCACGGAAAAGAGTCACGGAAAAGAGTCACGGAAAAGTATCCTTTTTATGCTTGTAGGATAAATGTGGAGATAACGCTCCGTACCTAAAACCTTCCAAGCCTTCTTTTTCAGATCTCAATCTTCGTCTCGAGAAATTTTCACTCACTGTGAAATGACCCGAAGAAAAAACTTCCACAGTGAAGTAAGCCATGGCTTTTTAAGTCTCCACAAACTTAAAAATTTGATAGTCAAATGACATAGTACCACTGAACTAAATTTTAACCAATCTAGCAGCCGAAAAAACTCTCTAAAAGTAGGTATATCGAGTACTCTTTTTTCGACTTCACGGCGCCGCCATTTTTAAAAAAATTGTCGAGAACGATTTCTTTATAATTAATGATTAATGTTATAAATTGTCACACAATGTAACGAAATACTAGACTGATTGTAACGCGAATAGGAAGATTTCGTGACATGATATTTCACAACGTTGTAAACAAAGTTCAAAACTGATTTGCATGCGTACAGTGAACTAAATAAGGGAAAGAAACGTGTAATTGTGAAATTGCAACTAAAATAGGGTATATTACAGTACTTTGGGATTGGGAATTTACTGAACTCGTGATTATGGGAAAATTACTTTATTTCGCAACTAGAACTGTAAAACGAAGTAGCACTGAATTGTAAGGGCAGATTGGTATTAGATCGTTAGAGCGTTAGTATGTTCAGATTGTCAGGAGTGATGGAAGAAAATAAACGCGTTTAGAAAACAAAGAAGTATACAGTCCTCTTGATTCCGCGACAAAAATCTCGGTGACTAAGCCGTTCATGACGTCCCAGAAATTTAACCCTTATGCTGGGAACGGAGGTACCGTTCAAACACCATCTGTGGGAAAGGTTGTTGGTCTCCTTATATCAAGTTTAGCCCGAGTTTCAGTGTAGCACTCTTTGTTCGACGCCAACATTAAAAAAAAAAAAGTTCGGTGACTAAGCCGTTCATGACGTCCCAGAAATTTAACCCTAATGCTGGGAACAAAAGTGTCGTTCAAACACCAGCTGCTGAAAAGGTTATCGGTCTCCTTGTATCAAGTTTAGCCCGAGTTTCAGTTCAAATTAATGCCTTTCTAGTGTAACCGACAGTGCAGCCATACTGTGAACTTATATCTGTTGCGTCACAAGTGAGCAGCCAGGTTGCTTAGCAACATTCAAACTACGTAATAATTTTAAAGGCACGTGATATGCCATGCATTTTGGACCGGAACAATAAAAGCAACGATAGCAACAACGTTGTAACAACTGCTTCTAAAATTGACAAATAAGGAGACTTGACATGTAGTTAGCTTTACTATCTAGAGAAATTATATACACGTATCTCGTAACTCAATTTTTTGCCAGTTGCTCTCAGCATTCGTAGTTATTTGTCAATCTCCAGGACATAGATTCACTTTCAATCGACTCACATACATTTATCATAACATGTCACTACATATATGCAATTTCTTTATTAAGAGGTCTCTAGAATTCCATTTTACGTTTAATCAGATTATGCTGCACTCGTTAAATTATGTCACAACTGATTTCCTTGTTTTCCTTTTGTTCATCTATACCCAACAATATCAAATTTCCATTCTTGATGGTTCAAAGTACCTTTCGGTAGAAACCCCGGGTAGCCTTAATTCTTATACAAAACAACCTCAAAATAACCATTCTCTCTCTCTCTCTCTCTCTCTCTCTCTGGAATGATTCATGCACATTTTTTCCTGCGCACGGATTCGGTTTATGCAAATTTGTAGTATCTATCTGATTTTTTTTCCATAACCATGTACAATTGATCTCTCGGTAGTTCATCAGTAATGGGAAGAACACTTCTTGCTCTACCTATAGGAAAGCTTCACATATCCTAAAACAATCTGAAATTAAACATTATTTCATTCCAAATTTACCTCACTCCTTGCATTTTTAAGGAAACCTAACGAAACCCACTTGGTTTCTTAAAAAAACTGTAACTCTTGCTCTCCCTCGCTATTTCAAGTTATAATTAATTCGGTGTACAGTCATTTACCTCATAGCATTAATATTAACAAGTTCCAGTTTATAGAAAGGATCAATTTCTCAATTCCTTAAGATGCTCTCTCCGTTCCCATGGTAGCAGAATCAGAAGTATGTGGATTCTGGCCTCGGTTGAAAGAGCCGGCCTGGGGCTGAATTTGGCGAGAAAGTTTAATTAGCTTTCTTAGCCCTGTGCGCATGTCTTTACTCCTACCAAAGTTCAGCAAAGGATTTAAGAATGCATTAAGCTGGAGGAAGAATGTGTAAAAAGGCCTGTAAGCGCTTAAACTCATTATGCCTAACAAGTGCAAAATAAGCGGAGACATAAGAGCTGGGAGAAACGTCAGGAACAATACCACGAGGATTATCCCCACAGTGATTGCAATTCTCCTCTCCCTTTCCAATGAAGGGCGCAATTGAGTTTCTGTGGGATTCATTTTCTTTGAGAATATGCCTATGTAAGAGATAATGATAACAAGGAAGCAAATAAGATAGAATAAAAGAGCAGAAACATTTCCGTAAGGAATCATATCTAACTCTGCCAGAAGTACCGCCAAAATGCATATCACCCATGTTACGAGAATCTTGACAATAGCACGGTATCTAGTCACGTTACTGCGATACCACCAGGGTTTTCTGACTGCTAGGTATCGATCTCTACTTATCAATGCCAAGTTTGCAAGCGTGGCATACAAACACAGAATAGATGTCGCGTGAGATAAGCGCGAGGATACACCAGAACCACCTGAAGGTGGGCACATGTATTTGTCGGCTATCGCCGATACATCTCTAAAGATAGAATATGAGGTATACACCAAGTCAGTTACTGATAAACTACACAGCATCAAAAATGAAGGACTTTGCAACGATCTATTTCGCGTTACGGTGAACACCACAAGCGCGTTACAAAAAAACCCAATTACGGCCAAGAGCATGCCCATTGGTCGTACACCGTAGTTGGTGAAGTCTCGCAGTTGATGCTGGGTTTCCTGTGGAATATTCTGGACAAGACATGCTTGGTATGGAAGCTGGGTCAAGTTATTGGCCATAACTGCACACCTGAAAACACCAACACAACTCCTTTAAAATTTTCCCTCTCTCGTCTTTTTATTACTAATTAAACTAATAGACAGCTGTGGTCTTCCTCAAGTTTTTCTGGCTAAATGCCTTATTATACCTCTGTAATTCAACGGCAGTTATATGATCCCTCCCTTGAGAGTGAAATCCAGCTAGGATTGACTTTGTAACCTGTAGCTGTAAAAGAGAAATGAAGAAACATGTTTTCAGGTCAAAACCACCTGAACCTTAATGTAAAATGAAATTATGAGCTCATCAAGTTAAAATACTTTTTCATTTTAATGTTAGATCCGTTATTTCGTGTTGAAACTGAATTAACAGTTTTTTTCGTATATACTTTATTCACTATCGTATAAATAATTTAAGAAAATCCTTATAACACACTGAGCAATTCTAAAGTTATCGAGTTAGCCTCTAGTTGTTCCATCACAAAAATTAAATAATAGTCTCATTGGGAAGCGTACGAAATCAACCAAATACTGTAAATGTAAATGTGTTTCATGGGGAAAATCTTACGATATTCTTGTATTCCACAGTGGGTTCGAAAATTAGAGCTTTTAGTTTCGATCGTTGATATTTACCTGCAGATTTTCTCAGATCTTGTCATCAGGAAAGCCTCTGGATCTGATCGTGTTATATTCTCCGGACGAAATTTGTTACAACTTTGCGATGACCTTGGGCTGCCTAAATTTTTTACGTGCATAAGGAGAGAATGTTTCTTTTCCTTAAATATCATCTTTTTCAAGTACCTGTCGGAGCAGTTGGATCATTATTTTTTTTACTATTAGCAGTCCCTTCATGCTTTTAAAAAAAGTAACAGCTAAGTAACAACCATTTGTATAAGATATACGGATTTTTCTTACCATACGGATTGAGTCAATCTCAGAGTCAAAGACCTTTAGGAACTAAGGTTTGTACATGATACTCTAAAACATCGACTTCGAAAATAGCGGATAAGAGCTTAACAGGTAAAGTATATTGTACGAAATATCTTCTCATCGACAAAATTATTGAGCGAATCTTTCCATGCGTAACCGCTTTTATAAATGTATTTTGCGACTAATGAAACCGCCATAAATAGTTCTATTTAATCCCAAGTAAAGTTCAATTAATTTCGGCTTGCGCTGTCTTTATTGCTGCGTGCGAAAGAGCTGAAATAAAGCCTACAAACGATAAGTGAACCGAAATGACCACGAAATCAATTTATTCTAAACCGACATTTAATGAATCCCTAATCCTTCTCTTTTGCTATCCACTTTGTCGGTGGTAACTACTATAAATTTAAGCTGCGTACGAAACTAGTCAATCCTTAACTTTATTTACCATGAAATATTACTCAACATACCATACTATCAATTTTTTTCTTTATGTGTTTGCGATTTAGCGCTTCAACTCAAAATACGGCTAATCTCAGGCTTGCTTAAAGGGATATTACCAGGAAAGCAAAACATTAAAATGTAATCCCTTGTGGTAATTTTGCTTCTAAAAGTCGGTAATTTTACTTGGCCTGTCTCGTTAATGGCTTGGAGAAAGGGTACACCGAAATCAAAACGACCAAAATTAAAACGAACGAAATCAAAACGACCGAAAGTGGAGAGAGCTTCAAAATTTATTAACTAAACCCTTGAAAGAAACATGTTCTATTATGTTTACCAGTCGTTTCCTTAATTATAGTGTACATGGCAAAATTCACTGTTTATTGCACGCAAAAGCCGCAAGAACATGCTAAAGATGGAACTTCTAAAGGGGAAATAGAGATTTCATCGTTGTACTTTGAATAGTGCACATAGGATGTTACATCACTAAATGATTGATGGTCACAAATGTAATTTTGTCTTCTCCCTTTCTCTCTCGTCCAGATAACATGAAAATGATGAAAACATGGAAAATTGAAGAAAAAATTAAGAGCCGAAAAATATGGAAATGAAGCCTTCGTTTCGTGATCTTTCCTGCATAACAATGAATTTTGATTCGTACTGCGGAAAAATTATAATTACAGAGGTGATTATATACAAAGAATTAAAGAGTAAACACATTAAAAAACGAATTTCTCTGATTTTTAAGCTGCAAAATAAAATGAGGAAATCATCCAAATTTTGAAAAAAAAATCAGGATTTGGAGTGACTAGATTTCAAAATTTAATGTCGCGTTGCTTTTTTACATTCCTTCCTTTCTTTTTGTCTAAAAACGCGAGAAATTATAATGAATCAATCAAGTTTTTTGTGAAAATTTGATCTTGTCTATGCAGACCATACCAGAAAACTTAAAAAGAAAGCTTAGGATATCATGAGGGTTTTGTTATCTTTACTTGAAAGTTTGTTAGTGTGTCAAAATAATTTCGGACGTCTACGCAAGAACTTTCCCACGAGTCTTTTCAATGCCAACGCCACAAAGTCCCCTTTCTTCCTTACCAAAATCGAAATTACATAATTGGCAGATGATTTTTTCTCTCTTTCCGAGGAAAATGTTGTTGAAAACACCGCGAAAGATGTTAGGTTGTTTTAAGGAAACTTCTACGAAATTTTGTACAAACTTGAAAGAAAGAAATTTGCGGATTCTCGCTCTCATTACACCTTTGCCCAACATCGTAACAGTTCTTTTATGTAGATTTTCCATTGGAGATTAACGCTCCTCATTTAGGTGCGAAAACGAGGGAGGTACTATGGACTGTCGTTTTTACTCATTACCAGTCTCTCGAGCTTAGCGTTTGCTCTTCAAAGTGTTCGCGAATTTGGGAAAACATTAATATGCAATTTGAAATGACTGTTAGGTGAGCTAAAGAAATGAAGCACAATAGTTAACGATCGATTTATCTATTAAAAAATATTTGTGGAAGTAACCGCGATCAATATCTTTTTGAATTGGGTCTCTTTCCAATTTTGATGGTGAGCCGCGAGTAATTCTATAGTTTATCAAGAGTGTATTCATGGGCCCGCTTCTCGAAAGTCCCGGTAACTTAAAGTAAACATTTAATGAATAGTGAAGTTGGCTCTGACACCTGAGCCGATCCATTTTGTTTCGTTTGCTGATTGTTTAATTAATTGTATGATTTTCAAAATTTTGGTAACCCCTATCTTGGATGTAAACAGAACAACTTTGCAGGCCGGTTAAGTTGCCGAGACTGTCGAGAAACGGGCCCTAGAAAACATATTTTGAGATTAAAATTTAAAGAATAGGTGAGCAGGTTCTGGCACTTTAACCATTCCATTCTTTTCGTTTAGTTAACAGTTTCATCGAATGATTTTTAAAACTTTTGAAGACCCATCCCAGCTCTACGGGCCTGCGAAGTCAATGGGACCTTCGAGAAACGGGCCTCTGACACGAAATAAAATTACGGGCTTCAAAAAAGTTTCCAAAAAAATTTCCTACACCCTTATTATACTACAACATTTGAGATGGCCCTTGATTTACGTTTGCAGCGATACTTTTGCGGACAGATCTTAGTTCAAAGTTTCTTTCACGCCTTCTCGAGAGCTTTGTTAATGCATCCTTAAAAAGAGGCATCCTAAGGCTGTACACAAACGGATTTGCCATAGAGTTTGCCAAACGCAGAGCACTTGCAAACCAAATCACTGGTGCAGGAAAGCATAAGCAGAACTCTTTTGTAATGTTCACAGCAAATGCTGGTAGCCAAAAAACCAGCGACACAGTAGCTACTACAAAAAATGTCCTTGAGTGTCGCAAGCTCTTTTCTACGAACTTTTGGTTGCGCTGGACCATTAATCCAGATGCTGGTTTCCTACTTCGCAATCGAGTTCGGATCGTGAAGTAGCTGGCACAAATAATCACCAGAGAAATGAAAAGAGATATGCTAGTGGCGACAACGACATTTCTTCTCTTTACAGCTGGGTAGTACAACTCCATCAAAGACATTCCACCCAAACAAAGTCCACCAGCCCAAACTAAAATAATGCTGGAGATGTAAAGAGATGTTTTTGCTACGCGATGACGAAGAGGCCACAAGACTGCATAAACACGTTCAAGCGAGATAAGGGCTAGGAAAAACACCGACGTGGCAAAGGCGAGGACTTGGGTAGACGTAAACAAAAGGCTCAACAAATTCTTCATATTCCCTTTTTTTCTTCGTCCAGCTGCAGTCATTCCTTGGAACTTTGAGACACCGAGAATGATCGGCTCTGTTATTCCCACGAGTAAGTCACAAACTGCAAGGTTAATCAAAAGGTAACAAGTTCGTTTAAGACAGAATCGTTGAGTCCAAAAGACAAAAATAGTAAAAGTGTTTCCAATGACGATGATTGCCGCTTCAACTACGTAGATAGCAATGAATATCAAAGCGATTTCCTCAGACATTTTGTCTTTCTGTGGCTGTTTCTTCCCCAGAGGCCGATAAATTTTCAGTAGAAACACTTTCGTCCCTTATTTTTACAAGAAATTTTGTGTAAACAATTATGAACAGAATAAGGAAATCATTATTTATCTAAAGGTTCCCTAAGTCTTCAAAGTCTCCATTACAGGTTGGCGAACCACGCCTATCACAAACAATGAAACTTCTGTTGACAGGAGCATAACAAAACTAAACAAACACTCGATTTAAACTCAAGCGACGAATTATGGTTCAACAAGAAAGATTTTACATCGCGTAAACTAGATGTGTACGTGGAAAGAGTGGAAATACATTCCGGAGATTAAAATATTAGAATTACTTATTAGCAAAATAATGAAACGCTCAAAGCGAAAGTTGGTCACAGAATAATCCATTATATATCATCTCATCATCGAAAAAAATACACCCAAGTGCAATTAGTAAACTCATTACTTCTCCAACAACGGAGAACAAACGTTTTAAAACAAAAGTCGTTGTTAATCAAACACATGCCAGCTTTCTCAAATTGAATGCCAAAAGGTAATCAATTTAAAGATCAAAAACGGACGCAGAGGCAGGTGCACAGATGTTGTTTTTCTATTCTTTTTGTTTTGCTTCCTGTTTGCATAGGCTTAGCCTAACCTTACACGGAAGCTGATTTATATTTAACCTGATTAGCTTTTATAATACGTTAAAAGTAGCCGAGTTTTTTTTTCCTTTGGAAATTTTCGGAATGCTGAGACTAACAAAAATCATTTATGGAGTTTTCTTCCCCCTTGTGGTACGGAAATAAGGTCAATCCTCCAGACGCCTTCCACTTGCGGGGGCTGAGTTCA